AGTTGAAAGAAGAAAACTTGTTGACCCAGAGGTGATTGTGGTCTTTGAAAACAAGCTATATAAGTCAAGCAAGGAGGTAAAAGACTGGGAGATGTGTGCAATACATAAGGATTTGCTTATAACAAACTGATGATTTCAGACCTAATTGCTAATTGATCACAAAGTTCCTTGGGAACACCAGTCCCATCCTCTACTCACTTTCTTCCCCTCCCCCATTTTTTTTTCAGAAGCCAGAGGATGCCTGCTGCATCTTACACTGTAGTGCAAACAGATCCCAGCAAAGAGAGAGGAAGATAAAATGAATTTAAATTCCAAAGGGGTTCCAATGCCGGTTTCCTAGTCCCCGAGTCAGCAATGTGTTTGTGAAAATTCAGCCTTTTTGTCTCCCAGTAAAAAGGAGCTAAATCTACATCGGTGGCCCAGTCTCGGGTTGCTATTCTTTGCATTTTCTATTCGAGTGAATGAGAGTGAATGAAGTGGCCGGGACCCTTCATTTGATCTACTCAATTGCATAAAGTGACAGAATTCTAATATATTTGTTTAATGCTATTCAATGGGCTTTCACTTTTTTGCTTGCAAATGAAGCATCCATGGGCAAAGTTTCATCCCCCTTTAACACTGGGACATATTTCATAACTCAGGCCATGGTTTGAAGTGATCTTGAGAGGAGTTTTAGACTCAAAAAGTGGAAAATAAAGAAACAGATGTGAAGTTATTGTAAATTCCTAGAGTGGGCTCTGGGGCTATTGTGCCCCCACGGCGGGCGGTCCAGGGGCTGTCCCTTTCATGCTGTAATTGAAACATATTAATTAGATAATTTGTTGTTAGTTTAAACGAAACAAATGCATCCCCTTTGAGGCTTCACAGCCGGTGGGTTGGGTTGTTTTTGTTTTGTTTTTGTTTGGGTGTCTCTGCATATGTGGCTTTTAGAAGAAAAAAATTAATTGACATTAATAGTAAGATCCGGATCCTTTCTGTGTCCTAACTGAATACCTCTGACAAAGAAAGTTCTCTTTTGTAAAAGTATAAACCATTCCTCAAACCTCCACTTGCACTATCTCCCCATCCCTAACCTTCCATAAACTAAGGTAAAACCTACTGTCCACAGCACTGGGTTCTTCCTCTCTCCCATCCTATAACCTTACACTTTCTTGAGAACTGGGCCAAATTCATGCTTGCAAGACACTTGGATCTTCTATATTTAAAGGCATTAACCTCAGTGCTATACTGTTTAAATCACTCTGAGGTTCATGTACCAGCAGCACTCCTTTGAGTCTTCAGGCTTCTCAAAACCCCCCAATCAGTCAGAAGAAACAGCAAGAACTTCTCCAGCTTCCCTCTTAAGTGCATGAAACCCATCCATCGTGTGAGCATTTCCTCAAATGACAGAAAGAACTTTGAAAATGCAATTGAATACAGAATTGTGTGGGGTTTTTTTTTAAGTATCAGAATAACCAGTTTCCAAATCAAAAATCTAAATTGAAAAAAAATCAATACTGCTCAGATTTACAAAGTAGAAAATAATATAACTTACCTTGGTTCGCAGGACAAGACCTTTAACACACACCTTCTCACTGCGTGGTGTTATCTCCTCCGGTTTTATTTTAAAGCTGTGCGTGTTGACTTTGGACTTGAGCCAGGTGAAAAGAATTAACATGACAAAGAGAGCCATAGTTATAAACTTCCTCATTTGTGAGGCACTTCAGCTAAACAGTGCACACATCTCCAAGCTGAGGCTGATGAAGGCAGAAATGGAGTGGGGTAGAGATGTGTTTTGGGGCTGCCTTTGGATTTCTTATCAAGGTCAAAATATCATCAATGGGTGGGTTTTTTTGTTGTTTTTTACTTTACTCATTCAACTTTGTCTGAGAAAAGATGCCTGCAATTGTGAAAGGAGGGTTCACAATGCCCAAGTTATTTCATTCTTTGCAATACACCATGACGAACTTACCAGCTGAAAAGAGCATTTTCAAATACTGAGTTGAAATCCCTCCTTTGCTAAAAATCAGAAAAAAAAATCTATAACTTATTTGTGTCTGTGTATATGTACACATCACTTATTGAGTCTAGCCCTCTTATAGGAGGAATGTTTTACCTGACTACATAAGCTGATGGTTTATAAAATGTGTGAGGCCCTTGTTAGCCTTTTATAGCACCTTCATTCCCAGTTCAAAATCAGTGTTACTAAATTTGATGAGATTTCAATATCCCGAGATGCTCTTAAGTTTCTTTTGCAGGAAACTATGAAAATGTATTTAATTTTTAAAAATGTGAATGATTTCTTCTTAAGAACTATGTTTCAAGAGTTTCTTAGCCCAGGGTGGCTCAGTTTTCCAGGCTTTCTTTGGCTGATCTTGTTGATATAATTGTGAATTGGGCTTGATGAATGAGTTTAGTTGTCCCCTGTCTGACGAGCTTTAGTAGCTTCATGCATTTTAATCAGTCCAATGATTCATTTATTTTCCACGTTTTTTTTTTGGGGGGGGGGCTGTGTGTGGGATCCTTCCTTTGGGGAGAAAATGGTCACAACTGGATTAATTACCCTTAACACTAATCTTAAATTGTTTTTCAGATAGTCATCTAAATATATAAGAGTCATAGGTGCTTATTATTCTCCTTATGGAGTATATGATTGTGATTTATATGTGGCTTTCTCTGTGTTGCACAAGGGTCTCTTGTTTAATCATTTTACACAGTAAAGTGTTAATCACCAGTTAAGTTTCTCTTTGTCTAGTAACTTCATTAGTGTAATATACACCTCACTCTGGAAATATTATTGTGACCCCTTCAATAAAATGCCAATTAATCTTGAGCCATAAATTCTTTAAGATTTTTAATTTTCTGCAAAAATCTGAAGTAAATATTTAAAGTCAGGCATTTTAAAAGAAACTTCATTCATGCCTTTAATATGCACCAAACATTATTTTCCCACAGGAAGGAAAGAAATCTATTCAATTCAAATTGAACAGGTTTCTTGGCATGTCAGATGACCCATTAGGTGATTTCTAAAAAAGAAAATTTCAACAACTGCAATAATTTAAAGCAGCAAGGAAATGAATTCTTCCTCCAAATGAGATGCATCAGAACATAAATATTGAGTAAGCAAGTTTGCTTTTAACTTTTAAATCTCCTTCTACCTGATTTCTATATAAGCCTCATATTAAGATAAGTCCTGTGTATTCCATAAAATGTATATTTTAAGATAGGCAAAATACACAAAGGTACTATTTTTTCAATTACAGTTTTTCTTTCAACACTACACCTGAGCACATGATTTATAATAGACATACTTGGTTTCTTCTTTCCCTATGCACAAATACCTTCAAGAGTCCATCTAGAAAATTCGACCCTCAATCTGTAAGTGCACAAGAGAAGGCTGGATTGTTTTCACAACAAAATACCAAAAAGGCAAACTACTCAATGTATTGCAGAAAGTATACTTAGGGAAAACACCCTATCCATCTTTTGGAAAGTTGTTGTTTGTAGCAAATCTTCAAAAACACACAAAACTAAAATTTGAATTTACATATTTTAATGAGAAAATATTATTTAGACTAGGTCATAATTTAATGTAGACACCTTTTTAAAATTCTTTGTCTTAAAACAGGCATGCTGGGAACAAGAACATCAATATTTAAAATGCCATGCTAATTCTGTACAGGGAAGAAGAAAAAAAATGAAAGATAAAAATTTTACAGCTCTGATGACACTACATTTTTTTTTTAATTTAAGCAGGTCACACCAGAACAACAGTTCGTTTTCCAGCAAATTACCTAAGACTCTAAAGGAATATAGCAAACAAAAGTGCATTTTACACAGTGTATAATCATTCCTATTCACAACTATTTACATCTTTCTGCAGCCCTTTAGCTTCGTGGAAAAGTTCTTGTCACAAACAGAAAGACTTGTCCAGGGGGAAACTATCTGTTGACATCCCCTTCATGTTACCAGTCAGCTTATCTAAGTTCTTCCAGGGTTGCCCTTGGTGCTCTTAGTTGGGATCATTTCATTTTCTTTTCTCTCTTTCTGTTTTCTCTCTCTCTCTCTTCAATAAAATAAATAGCTAAAAGGTCTCTAAGTAGTAGAAAGTTAACATCCCAATTAACTTTCCCATCCCCCTTTCCCTCCCCTAAACCTGGCCTGAAATGAAGAGTAAACATTCACATTACAACAGGTACTTGTAAAGTGGGCTTTGCCCACTAGCCCGCCTAGCAAGGCAGATTCAAGTTCACTGTTTACATTTTAACGGGAGCTTTGTAAACAATACAACGTTACTTTTATTTTTATTTCGCTTGTGTTAAGGACAAGCGTCCCTTTATCAACTTAGCAGCCTCTCTCTTAACTCCCAGCGCCCCGGAGCCTCTGGCAGGAAACAGAACTCAAAACAAAACAAAACCCATCTCCGCAGAAGCCGGGGAGGCAGGGCTGCAGCCCAGAGAAGCTGTGGTCCTCCCATTCCCAGCCTGGTGGGTGGAGGTGAATAGGGTAGGAAGATTAGTGGCTCCTTTTCGCAGAAGATTTCCAAGACCTCAGGAGATCTGGCCCTCCGCTGTGCGGCTGCAGCCCTCCGAGGGGTTTCTGTTCCAGAAAATCTCCGAGGCTGTTTCTCTAGTCTTAATCTTGCGTCTAGAGTCCGGTGCTCAGCGGATTGGAACCCAGGGAAAGACGCTCTTATCTCCGCGAAAGCGGAAGGCAGGTTTTCCCCTGCTAGTTAAATGGGATGGGGGGCCTTGGAGGGAGCGGCTTGGCTCAGGAAGTCTCTGCTTTCCCCTGGTGTAGGGGCGAAGACGACTCCCACGCGCCTCCCCGCAAGTTTGTGTTTTGTCTCCCGGGTCCAAAACAAAGTTCTCTTGGGAAAGAGAAAGAGAGAGAGAGAGGGTTGGCCAAGGTGAAATGGACCAGATAGGATAGCGGTCCTAGGTCGGAGAGGGCAGGACTGGGAGCTGGGGAAGGTGTGAGTTGATGGAGAGGGGAACGAAGTGGATGCCGGCTTCCGCGGGTCAGTGAACCGCCACGGAATGCAAGGCGGAGGCCGGGCTGGTAAGCGTTTCGCTAGGGGTGGCGGGGCTACTTTGGCTGGTGGCTGTTTGCGAGGAAGTGGGGCTGAGCGAGGGCGGCGAGTTCGACAGCAATGTGGGGATGGGCGCAGGCAGGGCGGGCAGCGCAGGCACCGCGGCCGGCGTGGGTTTGATGGGCACGGGGATGGCCGGCAGCGTCTGGCCCGCTGCATGGCACAGCGGCTTCAGAGGCACTCCGTAGGCGCTGTAGTCGCCACTCGTCATAGAGATGGGGGTTGTGGAGTCGATCATACCCGCAGAGCCGTACACGTGTGGCCAGCCAGTGCCCAGAGAGCTGCCCATGGTAGTCAACTGGTTGGGGAGCGGGTAGGCAGCGGGCACCGGCTGCATGGCGGAGAAGGCCAGTCCCCCAGGCATCTTGTATTCCCGCGCGATGATGTTCTCGATGGCGAAGGGGTGCTTGAAGCCTGAGGGCTGCGCCACGCCGCCCAGGTTGTAAGCGGCAGCGGGCATCTGAGGCAGGTGTGTGCCGGAGGCAGCGAGCGCGCTGAGCCGCAGCTTGGCCTGCTGCTGCAGGTACTGAGCCGCGTCGGCCGGCTTGCTGGGCGCCAGGTGGTCGGACTTGAGCACTTTGAAGCGCTTGCGGCGCCGCAGAAAGCTGCCGTTCTCGAACATGTCCCCGCAGCTAGGGTGCAGGGCCCAGAAGCTGCCTTTGCCAGGCTGATCCGGCCGCCGAGGGATCTTAATGAAGCAGTCGTTGAAGGAAAGGTTGTGGCGCAGGCTGTTCTGCCAGCGCTGCGTGTTCTCCCGGTAGTAGGGGAAGCGGTCCATGATGAACTTGTAGATCTCGCTCAGCGGTAGCATCTTCTCTGGCGAGCTCTGAATGGCCATGGCGGTCAGGGAGATGTAGGAGTAGGGCGGTTTCTGGTCGCTGTACGTGTTGCGACCTGGCCGAGGCATCTTCTCGTTCGCCCTCTTCTTGGTCTGGGTCCGCGCGGGCCGACGGACTACTCGGATCTGGGGAAAGGGAAGGAAATGGAGGGGAGGAGTAGCTTGGATGCACAGGTTCCGCGAGGTCCCAGGCAGAGTAACAGGCTTCGGGGAGGCGGGTAGAGGCGGCACCCCTGGATCCGCCTGCGATCGCACTTTTTCGCTAGCAACTTTGCGCACTCGGCTGGACCTGGCCAGGGGTCGCAGGAGGGGAAGCCGGCTAGTGATACGAAGGTAGCATGAAAGTAAGTGGGACCTAGGGCCTGGACAGCGTACCGAACTGGACCCAACCGGGGACCGCGGGAGGGGAAGACAGCAAGTGGCGAGAGGGTAGCAAGAAAGTAAATGGGACCTGGAGTAAAGACAGGATCAGGGATGCAACAGAGAGCTGCTCACCTTAAAGTTGCTTCAAGTTGCGCGTCCGCATCCGGAATTGCGCCGCTTGTCGCAGCGTCGCCCCGGCACGCAGCCCAAGCGCAGCAACCTGATTTGGGTTGAACTCAACTCGAACCTGGGCTCTTGGGCTCAGCCCTGCAGCACCCCGCGCCGCCGTATCCGCGGCGCTCTGGGCCGTGCTTCCAGCGAGCGACCGAGCTCGGTTGCCGAGTCTGGGCGCCGACGTTGGCAGGGGCGTCCTCGGGGCTCCGGAGGGCGCTGCTGTGGGCTCTGCGGCTCCGCTGAACTAGGTGGCTGCCTCCATGTCCTCCCTCGAACCATCTGATAGTTTTAAGCGGTGACAGGAGCAGAAAAGACCCCTGTAGCGGCGCTTCATTAATGTGCCACTTCTTAGCTATCATATGACAATCGCCTTGGGAGGAGGAGGAAGAGGAGGGGGAGCGGGGGCTGCAGAGGGAGGGGACTGAGCGAGACGGGAGAGCCTGACCAGCCCTGGTTTCTTTCACACCTATTTACATGGACACCTTGGCCAATAGAAATCACTTCCAGCTCAGGACTGGGAGAGGGGGAAGAGCCGCGGCCACTGGCGGGGAGCCGGACGCGCTGGCGGTGTGCGCGGTGTGAAGGTATGAAGAGGCAGCGGCCGCGGAGCAGGGAGCCAGGCGACCACTCACGTTCACAGATGGAGCTGCGGCGCAGATGATGTTTGACATGGAAATTGCTTGGCTGGGGTATTCTATTTCCTCTGCATTGTATGGGGTTTGTATTGTTAGCTAACTTCAGGCATGGCTTTGCTCTAAGTCGACCTTTTTCCTTCGCTGGGCACCCGGGGTAGGTTGCGTGGGTTATTATAATGAAAACATACCCCCTCAGTCCTTCAAGAGGCAGGTCGAAGTTTGATTTGACCTTCCTAAGCTGCTGCTTCAGTTCTGCACAGTTGGGTGTGTAGCTTTTAGAAAGTGGTGGCGTTTAAAATGCAAAATGTAATCGGACAGCCCCGCATAAGAGCCCATTTTGAATCTATGAATCTAAAGGCATTGATCAATTTTGTTTTTAAACAGATGATATATCTGGGCAAAGAGACAAGGTCTTTGCTTTAAAAGTCGTCCAGCAATTTGGTTGGACACAGGAGAGAGGCTCAGAGGCATTTGGGTCAGGGGAGTATCCACAGTGTGTGGACCTGGGGAGGGCCCAAATTTGTTTGATACACTTTATCACCAGAGGAACTACAGGGTTTCTTGGAAGTTTGTAAGTTTACATTTTACAGCTGGAACTCCCCCAACACACACACATACACACACACACACACACACACACTTTTTAAAAATTAACATAGGAATAATTGATTGAGGGTTTAGAAAGCCCAGCAAAGCTACTTGCAGTCCTATTAAATCAACAGTACTTTCTAAGACTTGCAAAGAACCAGCAAGTTTTCCGTGTGTGTGTGTGTGTGTGTGTGTGTGTGTGTGTGAGAGAGAGAGAGAGAGAGAGAGAGAGAGAGAGAGAGAGAGAGACTGTTGTGTGTATTAGGAGGCTGTGTCTCAGGTCACTGCCTAGTGTGGGTAGCAGACTTCTTTTGGTTTAGATTTGCCTTGGGAGGGTTAAATGAATCATTATTATCATTATCATCATTGTCACTGTCATCATCATCATCAAATTGCTATGAAATATATAGTGAGTTGATCTGCCTGCCTGCATGCATGCAGTCTATGAGTAGACTCTAGGAGTTCCCACTCATTTCTGCACACCCTCCAACCTTTATGGTTAAAAAAAAAAAAGAATCATTTTACAGTGTTGCTTAAAATACAATCCCTACAGCCTACAGAGTCATCTTCAAACATCAGAAATGTGAGAGGGTTTCCCCCCTCCCCAGGAGGTGGTGGTGTGGGGTTCTGGGTGCAAAGTTTCAACACTTTAAGTGATATTAGAGCATTGTTAGTGGAGTTGTTTGAGGTTAGTATAAAAAAAGATCTTTCAGTGTGGGCGCACATGCACACACACCCAACTTCATTAACCACAGTTTTCTGGGGTGGTCAATAACTCACCAAAACGTAACTTAAACACGACGAATTTAGGAGATTAAACAATTTCATTAATATTGAAATGGCTCTCGCGTCTGAGCTGCCTTGCTTGAGATGCAAGCGCACGTTTTTCAATATTAACAGAAGTGCTTGAAGAAAAGAATAATGACACCTTCTTAATTTGGAAAAAAATAACTAGGAGAAGGAGGTGGGTGCTAGGAGGTGGAGGTGGGGGGCATTGACCTGTCTCTGGGGGTATGCTCAAGCTGGCAGATAAATGTATTGCCGATCTCTGAAGATTAAACCAGTAGGACTTGGATGGAACCTCTGCCGAGCTTGAACTGAAGGCAGTCCTACTCACCTGAGCTGCACGTGCTTCAGCTCCAAATGAGGTGTGGTTTTAAGGTTTGGATTTGCTTGTTTGTTTGTTTTTGGCACAGCCCTCAGAGTCCCGGTGCAGGAGGAGCTTGGGAGTCCAAAGAGGTGGGAAGCCTAAGGGACAGAGTGGGGATAGTAGAGAAGCTTGTGTTACCTAAAATGGAAAGGTGCTGGTCCATGTCTTGCTTAAGCCTACAGCTTGCTTCCAGGTACAACTAGAGTTCCTGTAAACAAGGCAGAAGTACCCTTGGGGTGAAAAAATACCAGCATGGAAGCCCCCGAGGATTGTTTAGGATCCTTCTAGCAAACCTGTACCAGAATTGAAATTTAAACATGTTTTTAATTTAAACATTAATTGAAATGTAAACACAAAATAAAATGTTCAGGGTAGCTGATTGGAGATGGTGAGCATAGGAGAAAATGATTTTGGTCCTCCCAGAAACAGCCAGGAAGATTATTTTCTAATTCTTATGGGTGCATGTTGAGGATAGAGAACCGGGAGAGAGCAGTGTTTCTTATTTTAACAATCAGCATTTTGTTGCTTGGCAAAGGACCATTGTATGGCTGTCGAAATCATTGCTCAAAGTAAACAGAAGATTAACTAAATTCTAAGAGTGGAAACGTTTGAGTTGGGGGGAAAAAACAAGTTGGAATAAATCTTTGTCCATCTCCCCGGGAAAGTTGTCACCACCAAGATCGGAACATGTCATGATACAAGTAGGAATTCACATCTGAGGAATCTTCAAAGTTTGGCTACAATAGCAATAGGAGTTGAGGCACATTGCCCATACCCAGGGTTAATTAAGTAAATCGAACCTTATAGAACAAGTTTGCCTTGCAAAGGGAGAGAGAATTTGTGAGATTCGCATTTAAAATGTGTGCTTTGCTACAAAGTTTTATGTCCCTTCCTGCTGGAGGTCTACAAAGCCCAGGGGATGGAGGGAGGATTTGCATGCTATTTATAGCATTTTAAGACTGGTATTATAAAGAGGAGGAGGGAAAGAGCACTTTCCAGAAATCTTGAAAAGTGCATCAGAGTCTATTGTGCAGAACCCAAGGCAAACAGAAGCTGGGGGGTGGGGGGGGGAACACATCCGACCCGGAGGCTTAGGGAGTTGTTGGGAAAACTGTATAAAATACACATAAGTCAATTATACCCATGTGCAAACCAAATGGAAATCTCTTTCGTGCAATAGCCATTCATCGCCTCCGCAGAGCCCACCATCGACCACCTTTCTGCTTGGAGAGTTCGCAATAGCCTCTTTTCCCACAAGCTGGACCACACACGGCTACAGATTTCGTAATAATTTATGCTAATTTACCTCCATAAATCCACAATTCGCTTCAGTGGCACCCGGGCTGCCGAGGGAGTAAAAAGGAGACAGAGGGGTGACAAATACAATATTGATTTTGATTCCTTCTGTTGTCAAGCAGGTGTGTGTATGCGCGAAGGGTGGGGCTAGGTTTGGGGGCGGGGGCTCCGGGGAGGAAAACCGTCCTTAGCCCCTGCCAGCCCCTCCATCCACACTCCAGAATATAACGCGCCCGGTTTGTTAATATTTACCAAACACCGACAGGAGGTGGAGGGAAAGTACCCAGCAGCTTCCGAAGGTTTCCTAGGCGCCAAAAACAATACCCGCCGTCCCCACTTGGAGAGTGAACTCCGGACTGCCTGGAGCGTTGCTGCTAAGCCTTGCTTTGCCCCCTCCTTTCTTCCCCAGGGCCCCCTCCCCTTGCTCCTCCAGTCTCAGTCTCTCCCTCCCTCATCCTCTTACTGTATCCCCGTCCTTCACTTCTCTTCGCTTCACTTATCTCCTCTTTTGTCATCTTTTCTACCAAACTGGCAGTGAAATGTGCTGGGGAGAGAGGACTGAGGACTGGCGCGCGGTGGTTTTGGGGTTTTAGGGCCTTGCGGGTCTCCTCTGCCCCGCCCCACCCTTCCAGGCCGCCTCCCGCATTTGCCCAAGTGCTTCTCTCCCTCTGGGAACCAGCGCTAACGCACCGCGCCGCTTTGTCCCATCAGTCATTCTTCACCAAATCTGCACTTTGGTGGCGTGAAACGACTTAGCTTTCCTTTCAAAAGGATTTTGTTCCCGGGGTATTCAGTAGTAAAACAAACTCCCTCAGCCTGTCAGCGGTCAATTAAAAAAAATTGCCGTCCTGAGTGTCTTGGAGGTTGTTTGTCCTCGGAATCCGTGAGCCTCCC